GAACGTTCGAGACGGACGTTGAACCGTTCGACCATTCCATTGACTGATGCGTGCACTCCGCTATGGTGATTCGAACTTCCAGAAACTATGCGAATAAAACGAACGAGAATAAACGACTAGACGCTAGAACGGCCTAGACGCGAGACTGATGGCATCGTCCTGGACATCCTCGAGAGCTTTCACGAGCTCCGAATGAAAAATGTCTCGTTATCCCGAACAATGAACAATCAGGGTCGAACCATCAGTTTCGGAGATTTAATTTTTAATCCATTCGTTGTACGATATCTTTGACTAACCGTGACGTCGTTCGCGAAGATATAATTTTCGTCGATGACATTAGGTTCAACGATCCAAGTCGGCAAAGATGGTACCGGTTAAAACCCGTTCACTCGATGACTACCGATTTACGGTACTGAACCGAAGATTGCTTATTAGAGAGTCAGACGAAGCTATGAAATAGAAAGACCAGTGACAATTTGATAGATTGAGCTTTTTGTCGAGCGACTCGTCGTTAGGACTGGCACCAGTGAAATTATTGGGTTTTTTGTTCGGCGACCGGTCGAATAACTAATAACGAGGCGCATGCCTTCTTGCTCGGTGATAGACGCTGTCGTTGGTCAGGGACGCTCCATGGAAACTCCTCGACCAACCGGAGCCTGAGAATTAGCGAATTGTGTAAGAGTAGAACAGATTTTGTCGCTCCTTGAAGTGTCTAGATTTGAAATGATATTAATCGATGGTTTTGCTACGCGATTCTTGAGTACAGTACTACCCATAACATTGTTTAATCGAAAAACTCTAAATAGACCTCGTAAAGAACTTGTAGATTAATTGTCTCTCGACGAACCGTGCTTGTAATCGAAAGTCAAAAGGGACCCCCGTTTAACAGTGGCCACGGCAAATATTGAGGCTTAGAATCGCGTGCACGAGTAATCGATAACGCGGGTAATTAATTTCGAGAAAAAGCTGGCTCGATTGCGTACACGTTTCGTGCAATCGATCTTAACCTTTCGGCCCAAGTATGCGTCTAATAGCCACGCATGATCTTTCACTCGGTTACCCGTGTACCCGCGCATGGCCGCCTTTAATCGACGCGTTGCGTTTCTCCTTCGAGTCTAATTTGCCATTGATTTACGACCGATTGCTTCTTATCCTGTGTGGTATCGTTTTAAACTGTTACAATTCCGACGGAACCGATGTCTTTGATTCGCTTCCATGAGCTACATACTTCAGACACCATTGTTCGCGTATTTTTACGATACGAAGTCATTTTATTTTTTCTTTGCTCTGCGAGTATTTTGCTCTAGCATTGTTATCCGTAATTAATTACGATACTGTAATTTATGACGTCCGAAATATGACACGGTCAACCGCTACATGGATTCGAAAATGAATCTGCTGTATCCAAAATGAAGTAGAGTTGATGTAGTAAACATGTAATTCTATTAAAGGTTTCTCTGGTATGGAAAGATCGTTGCGTAAACGGCGCAACGGAGGTCGCGCAACGAGTCATAGGATGCATTTATCTCGATTTTTTGCTTCTATTATACTTTATTTTCTCGCATTCGTGCGTTCACGATCGAACTGCCACGGGTACACGCTTACGGTCACCAATTTTTATTTTTCACAATAATCCATTTACTCGCATCTTTGCGTACGGTGTTTATCCGCGCTGCAGTCGTTTATTAGAGTCGCGTCGAAGCGCGTTCGCGAAGCAATTCGATTTCGTTCGCGTGAAACGCGTACATTAACGGGTTTACGAACAAATCGCTCGTTCCTCGAAACCCTCCCGTAACTCGTTTTCATTTTACTCGTCTTCAATTTGCCCCCTGTACTTGCACACCCTTAAATTTTATCCGCGAACTCGCAGCTGCGCCTTTTTCCTCGGGTTCTCGACTTTGCGCGCGGAATACTTTTATTTCTCCTTGTTCCAGTGTTCCGAATTCGAACGATTCGTCACACCCTATTTTTTATTTCAATTGAAGAATTATATGGTTTGGTCCCTGTTTTCGTGATTATCTTATTTCAAATTTCAATTGCGAATAATTAACACAAAAGCCTACTTATCAAAAAAAGTTTCCTATTAATTCACAAAATTTTCTATTTAAGGAACGAGGATAAATAAAATTCCTTTTCGTTGAATACGTATCGAAGAATGTCAACTCTGAAAGTCCACGTACTCGATACCGCGACTTTGGATTCGCGTCGCTTAATTGCCGCTTAAATTCACGTTACACGATGTCAATTACGATTTCACGGGGAACAATTCACGGACAGTGGCATGCACCGAAAGGAATCCCGCTACCGGTCGCGGCCGTGGAAGTCGGCTAATAAAAGAGAAAAAATCATTAACTAATCATTAACTGTAACCATTTACCGGGCGTACGGGAGAGATTCAAAGAGGGGCCGACGCGGTGACGAGGCAGCGACGACCGGTGACCAACGGCTAATGACGATGACTTTTTGTCGAGGAGCATATTTTTTTGTCGGCCAAAGCCACTTCTCACTGCACGCCTCGACCGAGGGAGCGCCTCCGTCCCCGACGCAATCTCTAATTACGGTTATTACGAAAATATTTCTCTGCTCGATCGGTACTTCCGTATTTTTTACATCTCTGATTACGAGCGTCGCCTAAGTCGTGCTACGTCGCGGTTTATAAGTGCTCGTGCCTTCTTTTTTATTAGCGGAAGAATTGAATCGAGGCGAGGAATGATCATCTTCGATTAAAAGATACTTTGTGCAAGCGGTTATTGTTCCAGTCTAACCATTTCTTGAAGTTGTGAGGGAGAACCATCCAGGAAGAGGACAAAATACATTATAGTTTTTTTCTACAATTCATCTCCACTTTTCTTAATATTTTAATCGCCCTTTGTTACTATAATTAATCCCCCGCTGAAAATTCTCATCTGTCCCGTTATCCTGGATCACTCCACGCGTCGAAGAGAAAAGTTTGGTTCGATTGCGCCCCGACAACCACGGCTGAAACCGCTCGTATGCTCGGAAACCCTTCAGGATTCCGTGCACTGCGGCAAGTCGTACGCGGATCAACGTTGAAATCTCGCCGATGCTAGGGGACTGCAGTTTAAAAGGGGGATTCTTTCGCTCGGCTCGAAAAACGAGTAAAAGTAGAAACGAAGTAATTAGCGTTTCGAAAGTTTCAGCTCGGAACTGTCGTATCGCGCCGCGAAGTAGAACGTCCGCCGGGCGGAATCTAATTGCGCCGACGTTTAATTAGATCGTTCGCGCTCGCTCTCGCGGGTCCCGTGCTGCCCTTCGTATCAAACTTGGCCTGTCCTTAACGATACGGATCAGCCTTAATTCACCGCCCTCGTCTGGGCGGCATTAATCTCGCTTCTGCGGCCGCCACGCCGCGGAACGATGCTAAAATTAGCGCGGCCCGTTAATTTAGCGCACTGACTCCACGCACGCGCTCCTATATGCGTATATATAGAAGCATTGATTGTTTCGCGCGCCCACGATTGTGTTTCCTTTCGCTAGTATGCTCGAGGTATGCGAGACAGCGCCGCCAAGTCTTTCCAAAGATCGCGGCACCCGATCAGCCCTTTGCCCTCCATTCGCTTCGCTACGGCGACACCTGTGCTTCGCGTACGGATAATTAGCAATCTCAGTTCTCGATCGTGCTAGATGCTACCATATCTGGGTTTAAATAACAACCTACGTTTTTGTTTACAGATAAAAATATTTCGCGAAACGAGCAAATATACTACCAATTATTGTATATTTATTTCAATCCGTCACCTCGTAAAGGGTGGAAAGAGAAGTAGGCTAGTAGAAAGTAGGCTAGTTTACTGCGTAACCGGTGTTTCTTTGTAGGTACATATTTGGGATTTGTAGCGGGTCGTAAAACCAACTTGCTGCTCGCATTTCAGAAATTAGAATGTTTACTCGCGGTGCTGTGCCACGAAGGAGCTTCGTTGGTCTCGTTGTTCTTGCGTAAAGTATACGTATTATCTCTAGAAATAAAGTGCACAATGCTTTTACTTAAAGCATCGATGACTGGGTTAATGTCGAAATTGGGTGAACCCTGCTATTGGTGGGTTGCGATAGCGAGCTCATTCGATCTCGATCGCCGTGTTCCCCGAGTTTTTGTTCCTGACGTGGGTAGCAGGACATAAATTATTCTTCGGCTTGCCAGAGCTGGGCATTTAATTGTGACAACGAGATTGATCGCTGCCGCGACTGCTCGGCCCGTGCGCCCCATTAATATCGCGGGACACGATTTACGCGGCGGGATAATGCATAATCGAGAAACAAAAGTCGGCGCATTGAATACACCCGGGACGCACGGCGTTATTAAGTATTATATTTAAATCATTTGTTGGCGGCCGCATCGGTGCTAACGAGGGGGCCACGACAGAGGCTTAACGAGACGCGCGCGCGCGCGCGCCCACGCTATTATATCGTTTCAGGGTTAGCATCGTTTCGATCTTGACGAATGATTCCTCCTCTCTATAGGCTCCACAGAACTTAAATCCGGTCATTTTCAGATTTGGAATCAGCGCCCCCAAAAACACCTGTATATCGATCATTGTTAGATACCCTTAAACAATTGTTATTTTTTATCTAAATTGAACTACTTCGATATCTTTTTAAGTTGAACCTTACTTTTGTGTCTCCAACCCTTTCTGACGCAGCTTGCCTTCCACGAATGGCAGTGCCATTGTCACAAAACTGTAAATTGAATATCGATCGACTGCAGGTTTCTGTGTCATGTCGTCGCCCATTAAACACCCCCTAGCTCTGTTTCCGAAGCTCGAAAATGAGTTCCGTGGGCGAAGGGATTCTCATCGCCGATCGAACGGCGTCGATCGACCTCCGATGGTTTTCGTGGAACTATTCGTGTCACGCTTCGGTATATTTTAGTGACACGATATTTTCTGTCCTCTTGCTCGATATTCAATGGTAGAATCGAAAGTTTCGCGAAATACCGAGGGATATTCTAGCCTAAATCTAAGATATAGTAGTGTACGCGGTCTTACCGTGCATATCGTCGGAGTTTGCCCATGGATCTTGCTGGTGTCGAAGAAGTCCGGAGCTTTAGGCATCTCCGAGTGTGTCCTGGACGACAGGGGTGACGACGTGGGAATGCTACTTGCATTGGACGCGTGAGTTGTAGGCAGTGGCGTGCCGAGTGGAAGGTCCGGTCGAAAGAAGCACATTGGCCACTGTAACAATAACACGATCGAATCATATTAAACAAAATTCAAAACGTTTCCATTGGATGAAGTAATTTATGCATTTGCAAATTGTACATTGTAGATTCTGATAGGCCAAGGATTTCTTAAAAAGATAAGAAGGAGGAACGTCGATAACGCGCGAAGAAACACCGACACGACCTACAGAAATAGAGTCTTGATTTTCGACAAGCAATCCCTCATGCACATAAAAAGACTTGTTGAAAAGGGCTGTAATTCAAACGACCATCCTCGACATTTTATCGCCAAGATAAGGAAGAAACCAAGGAAGAACGAAAGGAAGAGTCATCGTTATCCGAACACTTTCCGACAATCGAGAGGACTTTTCCACGATGCTGGACCGTTTGCCTGTCATCGACAGCATTTTTTCCCCGCTGAAAAGGGATCCCCGTCTCTGGGCACTTCCAGCATGCAGATAAAAACCACTACGGGAGGGAGACTCGAGCATTAGTGTCGCCGAGTGAATATGAACCTCTCTAAGATAGATGACACAAGCCCCTGACCCTGTAAGAAGCGCAATCGTCTTCGAGGTCACCGTGCGTGTGGTCCATTGTAAGTGTTCTTACGGAGGAGCCCAGGGGAGAGGATGAAAAGAAGCCACGGCGTGTTCCGTTCACCGTGGTACGTAAAGACCTTTTGATCGCCTTGCTGGACCAGACGACACGAATTCCGTTGATACGTCCTGACAAAACGCCTGCATTCGGTGCTCGATGCGATCGCCTCGCGATACAACAGGGGGGTGCGTTAACCCCTCACAGCCTGGCGTGTCGTACATTGCTCATACCGCTTCCTCTTATTTTATCTTTCAACCTTCATCGTTCGGAAGATTTAATATCGTTAAATGGGACGTAACAAATGCGTTGGATCCGCAGGAATTGACGAGTCCTGTAATAGTTAACGATAAAAGTTTATGTAAACTGTACACGTGGTGAACCAGATTGAATACACAACAAATTAAGGCAAGTATAGACGCTACCTTAGTTACCCTAAACGGCGGTGCATCGAGCCCATCGCTGAAGGATAGTAGGAATCCGTCCAAGCCATGAGAATCTTACGTCACAGAGTGCCGTAATATCGCGTGTTTCGGTTATTTTCGAGCACGGGGATGGAGGGGGGCCGATTGGTCACGACACGACTGAAAGTTAGCACCCGGAGCGCGAGGGGGTACACGGTTTCGGGGTGGTCTGGCGAATGTCTCTTGTCGTTGGCTCGCGGGAGTTAACGCCAAAACCGAAATAACAAACTCCTAAACTGCGTGAGTTAACGCCACCGCGTCGGGGTTTCGACGGTCTGTTATTTTCTGTTTATCGCCGCCATTCTGTACACCGGCGAACGGTTTACCGTAGACTGCACCGTGTAACGGAAATCGTTTCGTCTGACCTTGGTAAAAATGTATCAACGGAGAACGTGCCCAACCGTTTCCGATGCGACCTGTGCTCCAGTTTCGCAGCACTCTCCTCCTGTAGTGGTTACTTCATCGCGCGCGTGCCCCCAAACGTCCTTGAAATTAAATGTCTGCGACAGTGAAGGTACGATGAAATGTTTTTCTTGGTTTTCGAATTAGTTTTGCTAAAGTTGTTTAATGACAGTCGTAGTCTCGATAGTGTTCAAGATTTCTAGGAAATGTTCAAATTTAGTACTAATCGGTCCCAGCAAGTATAGTTGCGTCGCCACGTGTAATATCGGCGGACTATTTTTGTACCAGTTAGGGGAAACGTGGCGCGGGATTTTTCAAATACCATGCTCGCGAGTCATCGAATAGTCAGCTGTAACCAAAGTAGAAGCTTCGCGTGGATCTTATCGGGGCCGAAGGAAAATATTTGCGTTGTAATTAATCACTGGCCCCTCAGGGACGATCCTACGACAGGGCCCATTGCCGCAATCATAATCGTGATGTACGAAGGGTGGGTGACTTTTTTAACGCTACCATCCGCGATCCGAAAATAGCAAACGACGACGTAATTCTTCCGAACACGCGGATGCTTTTTAACAAACACGTACCTATTTCGGGTAACGCGATAAGAAAGTTTAGGTTTACTCCGTTACTTGGGTAATTTAGGTACTACGCAATAATTATAAAATCACTGTTTTTTGATTACAATATTGTTAAGGTAATTTATAATTTTCCACACCTGGAATGCAAACTTTGTTAGAGAAAGCTCCAAGAGCAAATCGATATTCTAGGTTAATGTACCGTAAAATGGCCCGTTGATCAAGGATCGAATGATAAACAGTGTTCCCTCCCGTCGCGACGGAAAGAAAAAGAAATTGGACGGAGATTGCGATCGACGAGAACGGGTCGTTGGTTACTCTCCAATTTGACCCAAAGGACCCGCACTTCGTACGTAATCAGTAATCGTCGCTTAAGAATCATTAAACGGGCCCACGGCGTAATTACACGGCAGGACAGATTGCACGTTTCGAGGACGGTGTGGTTATCGATTGCGATCGGCGAAATTGATTCGCGGAGCCGAACTGGATCGATGAAATTCGGGACGAAAACGTCTGTCAACTGTCTCGAAGAAATTTATCTTTTAGCCCGTTGAATGTATAGTTCAAAGTGTAAATTAGAGAACATCTTGAAATAGTGGTTAGAATAAACATGAATTAAAATACACGAAATCTAAAATTTGTATAGGATTAGCATGCTGCATTCCTTTATGTGTAACAAGTTCATTTTCTGATCAAAGCAAGACTAAGTAAGATTAAAAGAAGCTAGACGTGCTCGAAAACAGGACCCTAATTCTAAGGACAAATTACGGAGCCCAAGTGTAGCTCTCTCCTCGAAGAGAGAGTGACGTGCCATCGCGCCGTTAACATCCCCCAACGAGGACTTTCGGAACAAAGAGGGCTGATTACGCGTTTTATTGAACATTACGCTTGCGACGATGCAATTCCGCGACAGGCATCAATTTCGAGGGAGACACGCCACGCTCGTCACGGCGCTACGCCTAAAAGCGACGGAGGTTCAGGCTCGTGTTCGACCTATGCAAATCCTGAGCGTACACGCTTCCATACACCGCTCGTCTCCCGCACAAGGCGGGATAGATAATAGAAATAATAGACTCCATAAATTCCAGATTCGTTGGGTGAAACACAGTGTGTTACCTCGAACAAGTTTGTCAACTCTGTGCAGCACGGTGGCTGGTTTGGAAACCACTTAAACACTGTCCATTTAGGTGGTTAGCACCAGTAGTCTCGCTCCAACGGTTTGCCTCGCTCGTTCGCACCACCTTGCAAGAGTACCGCATTTTTATGTATTTAACCACTTTCATTATTTTTTTACTCTTCCCGTGCATAAGAGTTCCAGACCTACTGTTCTTGTGTGGCAGAGTTAAGGGACAAGCTTTTATCGATCAGCAAGCGCGCCATCGAGAGCGTCCGATCGTCAACCCACGGATGCCCTCGGTGATCAGGAAGCGGCAACTCCGACAGCTGTGATAATTAGTCCGCGAGCTTTGCACAGCGTTCAACGACGAGGAGAACGGGCGAGGTACGTGTAAGTACGTCGACGATCATCGCGGCGCTCCATCATTCGCGTCATTAATACATTGCCAGTGACGGGGAGCGTTAATCTTGGCTGCCACGAAAAACAATCGACCGGCTCATGAAAGTTTCAATGTATCACCGCGTGACGGAACAGCGAGACGTGTTCGGAACTCTACGCGGTATCTATTTTCGACTCAGCCTCGAACGGTGCTCTTTCTTTCGGACGGTTCTTGGCAGATGCCGTGGGATGACGATGATGGAGAATGAGAGGTGGGTTCTGGTGAACGAGTGGGAGGCGCGGCTGGGATCTGAATATATATTTTACAACTAAAGCCATCGCGATATGAACGTTCGTTTGGGGTAACTGCAGAATTTGCAATGGAATGACAAGATTCGCAGCTAACCATTCGACCACAGTTTCGTTCACGTTTCGAATCGTTACAAGAACCAACCTTATTCGAATTGGGTACCATAAAACTGTTAGAGTTTTCAGAGTACACCGTCAGGCACGGAGCAGAGGCGTGTTTAGTAGGCACAGGATTCATATTCAGACTGGTTAAACGGCCAGTTAACCACCTTTATCTGATAGACTCTGCCCAGGCTGGTGTGACAACGACGTGTGTCACGCGCGTCACAGGCTCTTGTCACGCGCTCGCGCAATCCAGTACGACATCGGTACGCGCGTGCGACACGCTACGCGCCGCCCACTTCATGTCCCGTAATTACCTGCGACAAAGCGTCCAGGCCATCAGCATAACGTGACAACAGACCAGCTTTTAAGTTCCGCAGATCGGCCACGCACCACGGCGACGAATTAATTTGCGCCGAGCCAAGCGATAACGATCGAGATTCTTTTTTGCTTTAACACCGAGATAACATCCATGCTTGAGCGGATGAAATTAATTTTCAATTTGCCGGGACGTCGACATAAGGGGAGTTCCCCTAGCTCCTCTGTACCGACCAACGTTGTAATTTCTTGAGATATTTGATGCTTTCATGGCTAGGTTGAGGCTTCTATGTATACACCGTGTCCTTTAGGTTGGATACTGCTGTTTAGGTAACGAAGCAGGTTCTAGAATCACGAGAGACCAAACGAGTAGGTTTGGAAGAGCTTTGGTGATTTTAAGGTATCCTTAATTCAAGGTGTCACGAATCATTGACAGCTGAAACTTGAGTGATAGCCCCATCGTTATTTAAAACGTGGATTTTCCACCTTGCTTGTTCTCCTCGCGTGAATTTTGTATAATTTCTTTGCTCCCTCGTTACGGCGAATAAAGTCGTTAAAAAGAAAAGAAATAAATGCATAAATAATGATAAAAGCTGCGCGGCCAGGCGAGTCGACGCTGCGAGGAAACGCGATAATTCAAGCAAAGCTGCAGCGCGGTAAATCCCTGACGCAAACGCGCGAGAAGGCGAGATTGACGTTTCCCGGTGCGAAACATAATTATTATCTTTCTCAAGAGACGTATGAGAAAACTCAA